GGGGGGGGGGGGGGGGCAGCTAGGGATCTGATTTTGTTCTCCTAGTTTAATTAGGTCTTTTTTTTGAGATGGGGGTAAGGGGGCACGAAAATAGGCTTGGTCAGGGAAGTGGGCTTGGGTCGTGTGTGGGGAATTGGGTGGTAAAAATTGTACGGGCGCTTTTTTGGTCGGCCCCATTTAATTTATACCAATTTTTTTAAAAAGTTTTAAATTATACTTATTTTTTAACAATTTCAGCTCTCTTTCTCCTCCTCCTTCGTTTTCTTCTTCTTTCTTCTGCGGCTGTTGGTGATGCTATGAAACTTCAGTTCATGGGATGATTGCCATAAGTATGTTTATCAGATTATTTAAAAACAAATTATAAATAATTACGTAAATTAGTAGATAATAATTTGTGAATATTTTCACGTAATTCTGTTCTTTTCACGTCTATTGTTTCCAAATTTTATGATTTAGATACTGTTGACAATCTGATTATTTTATAGTAGTTATACACTATGAAAGAATAAGGTGATTATTTATCTAGTATGTTAGAAAGCTTTTTCAAAAACTTCAGCTTATATAGTGCTGAAGTTTTTACAAATGAACTAAATAACTTCAGCATCTTCTGCTGAAGTTTTTGAAAAAGCTTTATGACAAAACTAATGAATCCAGGACAAAAAAATTTCAGCTTATATAGTACTGAAGTTTTTACAAATGAACTAAATAACTTCAGCATCTTCTGCTGAAGTTTTTGAAAAAGCTTATCCAGGACAAAAAAACTTCAGCTTATTTGGTGCTGAAGTTTTTACAAATAAACTAAATAACTTCAGCATCTTCTGCTGAAGTTTTTGAAAAAACTTTATAATAAAACTAATGAATCCAGGACAAAAACAATTCAACTATTTTAGTGCTGAAGTTTTTACAAATGAACTAAATAACTTCAGCATCTTATCCAGGACAAAAAAAACTTCAGCGTACTGTCTTTGCTACTTCAGGCCCGTCTACTAGAATGCTGAAGTTTTGCGTGATTGCCTTTGCTACTTAGCCCCGTATGCTGAAGTTACGCGAAAAAGTGGGTACGCTTGTAATTTCTTTTGCAAAGCGGGCACAAGTTAAAACGTGACCCAAAAAGCGGATATAGATGCAAATCCCCCATTGGGTGGATTTTAAGGGAATTGGGCCATGAAAATTAACTTAGTCCGAATTTAGACCAAAAAATAACCTCCCCTCCCCCCTTTCTTTCTTTCTTTTTTAAATTCTTGAACAAATAAATTAAAATCTAACTTAACTATAATTAGCAAATTCTATTTATCTAATAACAAATGCATGACATATTTTGTTTGATTTTTTATGTATTAATTCTAACAATTAAAGAGTAACTAACTCCTAAAAATACAAATTTAATCTACGATGGAATGAAACGAAAATGTGACAATTTTTATGATTTTTCTTATGATTTTAAAATATTAAATATGCATGAAATGCAACTAAATAAAGAAAAACACCTAAAATCCATTAAAATTATTTTTTGGTCTATTTTTAGGAGTTATTTTCATGTGGGGCAAAAATTAGGTGCTCACAGGTGCCTCTCTTTGCTCGAAAACATGAAGAGTTTCCAAGCAAAGATAAAGTGAGCAATTACGAGTAATTTTTGCTCGTTTGAAACTCCATGGGAAGCATTTTATTTGAAAAAGTTTGACCGAACCTTGCTTTGGAGGTTGCCTACATATCCTTGGGTATAAAGGAATCAGGTCAGTGTAGTTTTGGAAGTTTTGGTAGCTGGGACTACTGAATAGTTGTGATTTTACTTCTGTTGCTGCTGTTTCTGCTTGCTGAGCTCCTTATAACACCAAAATCAAAATGAAAAATTAGACTAACTAAGCCTATCAGCTACGAGTTACAAGATTCCTATCTATAAACCTTCTGAAACTTGATCTTGAGTCTTGGCTGGTTCTTCCTGCAGACTCTGATCTGAATCTTGATGCTTGTCAGCTGCAAGTGCTGGTTCATTCTTCTTCAGCTTTTCGGATCAAGGCGGGACATACAAAGCTTGTAACTTCACTTCTTGTCCATACTTTCTCTGATTCTGCATTTTTTTTTATTATTCTAGATTGAGACTTCTTCTTTTGATCGTCTCGAACCCTATGTCTCGAGGTATAACCTGCTCAAACACCAAAACAAACAAACGAATGAAATTTTTTGCCCCAGTTTTCACTAGGTAAATTTTGTGAGTTATTTGTAACCAAAATTCTATACTACTTCATTATTGAAAGCAATAAAAATTAGGATTGTGTATCCTTGGGAAAAAGAGATTAGGGAGTGGAGATCCTATATCTAAAATGAAATCAACTAGGGATTGGAGACCCTATTGTTGGAAAATCATCAACTAGGGAGTGGTGACCCTATGTTGGCATCAGGTTATGCTGACATCAACTATGGAGTGTAGACCCTATGTTGGCATCAACTAGGGAATGGTGACCCTATGTTGGTATCACGTTATGTTGGCATCAACTAGGGAGTGGAGACCCTATGTTGGCATCAACTAGGGAGTGGTGATCCTATGTTGACATCAGGTTATGTTGGCATCAACTAGAGAGTGGTGGAGACCGTATGTCGGCATCAACTAGGGAGTGGTGACCCTATATTGGTGGCATCAGGTTATGCTGGCATCAACTAGGGAGTGGTGACCATATGTTGGCATTAGGTTATGCTGGCATCAACTAGGGAGTGGTGACCATATGTTGGCATTAGGTTATGCTGGCATCAACTAGGGAGTGGAGATCCTATGTTGGCATCAACTAGGGAGTGGTGACCCTATGTTAGCATCAAGTTATGATGGCATCAACTAGGGGGTGGAAACCCTATGTTGGCATCAACTAGGGAGTGAAGACCCTATGTTGGTATCAGGTTATGCTGGCATCAACTAGGGAGTGGAGACCCTATGTTGGCATCAACTATGGAGTGATGACCCTATGTTGGCATTAGGTTATGCTGGCATCAGGTTATGTTGGCATCAACTAGGGAGTGAGACCCTATGTTGGAAAATCATCGGGTTATGCTGGCATCAACTAGGGAGTGGAGACTCTATGTTGGCATCAACTAGGGAGTGGTGACCCTATGTTGGCATCAGATTATGCTGGCATCAACTAGGGAGTGCAGATCCTATGTTGGCATCAACTAGGGAGTGGTAACCCTATGTTGGCATCAGATTATGCTGGCATCAACTAGGGAGTGGAGACCGTATGTTGGCATCAACTAGGGAGTGGAGACCCTATGTTGGAAAAGACGCAACTAGGGATTAGAGATCATATACTACCATGATTTTGATCTTCTCTCTCTTTCTCTCTCCCCCTCTCTCTCTCATATGTATTAGATATAGCTTAATAACAACTCAATTTCACTTTATTTTTAAAGAAAAAACCGTCCACATTCTTTATACACTGCAATTCCTGTCTTCTTGTTCAAATATTGGCAAGAATAGCTAAACATACTAAAGGGTAGTCAGGTGCACAATAGCTAAATATACTAAAATCTTCAAATGGCAATACCTTTGAATCTCTAAAGGCTATATGGCTACAGGACCTTGCGGAAAAAATAAGAACCCAACAACAAAGAGAAGCAAAAGAAGATCTTCACTTAACCGCCAATTCTCTCCCTCCTCCTTGGTGTCAACCATTATCCCTATATACTTAAACCCAACCAAATAAGTTAACCATTATGTGTCGGGTATAGCCCTATTTCTATTAGTCTCTTTTCTCTCCCATCCTACATCATCTCTATCACATTAACCGCACCATCACTCACAAATATGCAATAAAAGATTGTTTTTCGGTAGGGTTATTGTGCCCCAAGGCACAAGAAAAGCACCCAAGAATGCAGTCCTGTAGCCAATGAAGTGGGAGGAAAACCATAAGGTCTCGAGTTCAAATTTCAACAAAGGAAAAAACTGCTAGGTGATTTCTTCCTATATGTCTAAGCTTCGGTGGGCAAAGATACCCGGTAACTATGTTGGTGGGAGGTAGAAGTTATCCAATGTAATAGTCCGAGGTGCGCGCAAGGAGGCTCGATCACCATCGTCATAAAAAAAATAAAAATAAAAATAAAAAAGAAACTGCACAAGAAAATATTGGAGCTTCAAAAATGAGGCGTATAAGTTAAATTTGCAAACTTTTACATGCCATTCATAATTCTAGCACTTTATAATGATAAATCCCCTTGTTAGAAGTAAAGCAACATTATTTAGCATAACAAGAAAGAGGGTATAAGACCAATAAATATTAACAACTCAGTTCCATAACCAAATGCAATAATACCCAGCAATGTAGAATCCAATTTCAGCAAAAGGGACAAAGCCCAGCACAAAATTTTCAATTATCGGCAAAAAATAAATAATTTAAGCATAAAGTTCCCTTTATAATAATTTTTAGTAGAAGAGAATCATACCCCAAAAAGAGAGTTGAGAGAAGGGTGGCAAGCGGCTTCCGACGGAAGACAGCTCCGGCAACTGAGGGACAACAGAGGGGAAGAGCGGTGAGGTTTTTATTTTGCTGATTGATGAGGTAGCGAGGGGGCGGGGGTTTTAAGAGTCCTAAAGTTTCAAATAAAGCAATTTTAGTCTCTTGATTTGACTTTAATGCCCAAACTTTGGAAACTTTACAGAAAAATGAAAATGCATAATTTTTTTTGTCTATCCTTTATTCTTAATTCCCCACCCCCTTTTTTACGGTGGTTAATTTCTTAGTACCTTTGTCGGACTAATCAATTCACCTTTCCTCGCTATTGTTACAAATTACAACCCTATAAATCTCCATAACCTTTTTATCTTTTTTCCAATAGTGCAGTCTTAGAAGTAACTTTATT